CTTGGATAGCTCCAATGTTTTGATTTACTCTCAAAAAATAAAACAAATTACAAAATAAATTAATTAATTATGTCAAACTTATTAAATAGCCATACTTTGTCCTTAATTTCAATTATTCTTTGGCTCAATCAATATTATTCAATATTATTCCATTCAACATGCTATTGAATGAAGCATGGGAAATCCAAGATTATTATTAATTCTTTTCTCTTTTCAAAATATTACAATTTAGTATATATGTAACGATCTATACTTAAAACAGTAGTTCACAGTATTATGTAACACAGATATGTTACAGAAAGTATTATGTAACACAGATTTGATACAAAAATATTGTATTCCTTGACATAGAATAAGGATGATTTTTCCTTTCAGAGAATGGATAATATGTAAATGAGTACTGGAAAATAAAGAGATTCTTGAATAGCCACTTAAAGAATCTGTAATTTACTTGATAAGTAATGAGCAGGCTTTGAAAATGGTAGAGCAGGAGATCAGTGTGCAACCTAGGTAATTAATGTAAATTTACTTGTGGGACTGAAGTAGAAAAAAGCTTGGTCAAAAGGAATCAGACAAGAATTCTCTGTTAGGAGTAGTTCCAGCAGAAGCTGATTAGTGCCTGAGTGATGGTCATGAGACAAGACAAAGAAAGAAAGTGGCACAATTAAGAAGAAGGCAGCCAGACTTGGGGGTACTTTTTGCTCTTTGGTAAGAGAGAATCGAATATAACATTTGGTTTTTGAGACACAAGTTTCACTTTAGATTTATTAATTATCATCTGGATGGAAATTATGTTTAGGATTAGGTACTACGTCAGTTCCCTATTGTTTTGTAACATATTCCTACAACCTTAGTATCTTAAAACACATTTATTATCTTTTAGCTCTGGAAGTTAGAAATCAATCAAACTCACTGAGTTAAAGTCAAGGTGTTGGCAAGGTTGTTTCCTTCTGCTGACTCTGAGAATGTTTTTGTAACTTTCTCAACTTCTTGATGTCATCTTGAGAACTCCTTGGCTAATGGTCTCTTCCTGGTTGATTTCAACGTATTATTTCTGTTGTGGTATCTCCTATTCACTCTGATCCTTCTGCTTCTTTTTTATAAGAACTCTATAATTACATGAGCCAACTTGAAAAATATAGGCTACTCTATTCATCTCAAGATCCTTAAATCAATCACATCTGCAAAGTCTCTTCTGCCATATCAAGTAACCTATGCACGGGTTCTGAGGATTAGCACATGGACATCCTTGGGGCCATTATTCAGCCTATTAGAGCCAAGGAGTCCTGTGTTTGGGGAACGTGGAACTTGAGACAAAGACTCGAGAGCTGTTAACATGGTCTGAGAAATGATACTCTACAGGCAAATAAGATCTCCAGAAAAAAGTACTAAAGAGAGTTATGAAAGAGGCATTGGAGAGCCTATAGTTAGGAGGAAGAAGACGAGGAGTTGGAGTAATGGAAACATTTAAGTGGAACCTGGCCTGATACTAGTCAAGTAAGTTTTGTGAAATGATTTGATCAACTTTGGCAGCTAATGAAAGATTATGGTGAGAGAGCCAATAAAATCCACTGAATTCAGCCTAAGAATTTCTGTTGCAAAGCACAGTTGTCGGGATTTGAATCAGATTGATGAACACTGTGTTATGAAGCTGAGAGTGTAAATTTTGACATGATCTTGGATTACACTCAGTGACAGCTCTTTTAGTTGCCAGTTGTGTAATCAGTGATAATTTATGTGAAAATCACATTCATGAGATTTAAAATGGAAATAATGATACCTATGTTGGAGGACTGTTATGAGAATAAACAGTCATAATGATTGTGAAAGTGTTTAGTCCATTGTCAACAAATAGAGGTTTGCTACTGGCAAGAATGGTATTATAGAGTTTTTAAAACATTCACCCTTTTTCTCTGATATAAACAAAAAGTTTTAGCAAACAAAAAGAACATTAACAGAGGAAATGACACAGGATAATACATTATTAAAATAAGTTCAGCAGAAAATATGGGGTGGGCTTGTTGTAGATGTCACTGAGGCTATCCATTTTGTACAGAAATGTTCAGAGGCTGAGAATGGCCAAGATTAATCTTGGCAAAACTTAGCAATTTAGAGGTTCTAGTAAACCATTCTCCTGCTTCTAAAGAAATGGAATGTAGGGACTGTTGACTTTTGTGATTTTTAGCTAAAGAAAAATATCAATAAGTAGGAATAGTTTAATACTCTGACACTATTATTTTTAAGATTTATGAAAATAAGGATTAAAGAAACATTAAGTGGGAGAGTTTCTGCGGATCATCAATAGAGATGGCAATATAGACTGGCTATAAAAGGAAAGAAGATGTAAATCACAAAGGGGTCATACTCATTAAAGACCTATTCTATATTAAGCACTTTTCTGGTTTCAGGAGTATATTATTTAATCCCCCCCAAAAATCTTTGAATTAAACATTATTACTCCCACTTATTGTGCATCTAGTTAAAGAAGCTAAGAAACATACCCACAGCCCCAGGCTAAATGACAGAGCCAAAATTTGTGTGTTTTGCTTAAATTTCATGTTTCCACTCACATTCTCAATCAAGTGCTGAAACCATGTAGAAAATTGGAAGTGTAAACAAAGTAGAAATTTCTTTTATCCAGGGCCTGAGGATATCATAAGCAACCATAGAAAGGCCAGAGGTAGAAGTACAGGTGTTTATTAAAGTTAGAAGTTATTTAGGTTATCCAAAAAATATTTTGCCTTTGTAAAATGATTTTTTAAAATTGTCTGAATGACAGTTATCTAAGAACTCCTTCCAGGAACTCTAGCATAAAAAACCTAGGTTATATTTTGCTTTGGTTAACATTTCAAGATGGGTAATATTTGATCCTTAAATAATTTATGTGTATTTGTGAAAGGCATTACTGGAAAATGATTAAAATAATCTCACTAAATGATTGACATTTGTCCTTCAAGACCCTACTGAAAATTTTACATAGGGCAAACTGCCAATAAGGACAGTATTTCAGAAAGTAGAGAGAAGTTAATCTCTACATTAAGTTATATTTAGTACTAAGTCAGTTTGTATATAACCGTTCTATTACTTTATTATTTTTTAATGTTTATTTATTTTGAGAGAGAGAGAACATGTACAAGGGAGTGGGGAGGGAGAGGGAGAAAAAGAATCCCAAGCAGGCTCCCATGCTATCAGCACAGAGCCTAAAGTGGGGCTCAATCTCATGAACCGTGAGATTGTGATGTGAGCTGAAATCAAGAGTTGGATGCTTAAATGACTGAGCCACCAGGCGCCTCTGATTGTGTTTTATAACCTTCTTTCATTTACTCAGGATTATAGAGTTAATTCTAGGCTCTTGTGATATGATTTAGCCCTTTCTAAGATAGCCCATCATCTTGAATATTCTCAGCAAGCCGTATCAACTGGCGCTGTCTTCTCCAGGAAATCCTAAGTGTCTTCCATCATTGGCAGCTTTCAGCCCCATTTTCTCTGTGAGGAGTTCTGTTCACAGGAATTGCCATGCTTGGTATTATGCGGTCTTGACATCCCACCCACAGATGACTGTATCTCTGACAAACTTTTGACCTAAAAGTTACCATCAATGGATTTGTATGGAAGCAGAGATAAGGAGCAGCTAAGTCACCAAGTAATTGAGCATTCAAGTAGTAGTGTACTAATGGCACAAAAATGTTTAAATAGTTGGGCCAGTTTAATACTTTTTGAAGAACCTATAAGTTTACCATTCAAAGCTGCCTCTAGTAATTTAGTGGCCAACTCAAACACATATTAAAAAGTCATATTTAAGTATCAGAGAGAGTCTTATTTTTGCTAAGCCTTTAAACATTTTCTGGGATCATAAGTGAGTATGGTAGATAACAATTTTTAAGACATCTATCTGTTGTTTAGATTAGTGGAAAATACTGGTTTACGGAAAAACAAAAACAAAACAAAAAAGCATCCTTGTACTTGTTTCCATTGTTGTTGTATCTCAGTATTGATTCAGGCTGAGAACAAGGCTGAATTCTCTGCTATTTAAGGATAGATGGCTTATGAAAATTGTAGGATAGATCATTGTAAACATTCAAAATTCCAAATGTGAGGGAAACCTGGGTGGTTCAGTGGGTTGAGCACTGGACTTTGACTTAGGTCATGATCTCACAGCTTGTAAGTTCCAGCCCCGCATCAAGCTCACTGCTCCTAGTGCAGAGCCCACTTTGTATCCTCTTTCTTTTTGCCCCTACCCCGCTTGCCTGTTCTCTCTAATAAATAAAACATTCAAAAAAATTCCAAATACCACATTTTATGAGGTGAATTGTGTTCCACCACTTCCCCCCGCCCTCAAAAATCTCAGATACATTACAGTCTTAACCATCAGTACCTCAGAATATTACCTTATTTGAATAGAATGTCTTTATGGAGATAATCAAGTAAAAATTAGGTCATTAGAGTGAGTTCTCATCTAGTATGACCTTCTAAGTATGCCCTTATACAAAGTAGAAATTTGGACGCAGACACCGACACAGGAGGAAGACAGTGTGAAAAGAGAGGGACAATGCCATGTCCAAGCATGGAATACCTGAAGCTACCAGAAGCTGGGAGAGAACTATGGAATAGATTCTTGGCCACAGCCCTTAGAAGGAGCCTGCCCTGTTGACACTTTGGTTTAGGGCTTGCAGCTTCTAGAACCGTAGGAAAATACTTTTCTGTTGTTTTAAGCCACCGATTTTATTTTACTTTGTTATAGCAGTCTTAGAAAATTAGGTCATCAGGTTACTGTGTTTTAAACATGAGTGTCTATCAGAAAAGGCACTCGTGTACAGCTTCCTGCCTCCAAGCATGGTCATGTAAGAGTGACCTTAGGCCTGGAACATTTCCTTCCTGGGAGAAAAGACCCCTCATAGCCTTGCAGGGCTTGTCACTTTGTGAGGGAATATCTCTCGCTGTTATAGATAGGGTGTATACTACTTGTTCTGCTTAAGCGTGTGCATATCTGTGACCCTCAGGCATGCCACAGGCTATCCGGATTTCAGACACAATGGAGGAGGAGTCAATATCATTCTACTGCAGTACTCACTGAGCTGTGTGCATCTACATTACCCCTATTGGCTACAAAGTGGATCTGTTTTCCATGGATGGAACAACCAAAGCACTGAAAAGTGGCTGGGTATTTCTTCTCTCCTCTTGCTATAAGTAAATGTTGTACCACTTGAGCCTGACATGCATAGTATCTATTCTCAGAAACCTTCAATCATTTTCTCTGAATTTCACTTATCTATTTTTTTAAATGTTTATTTAGAGAGAGAGCATGCATGTATTCGTAGAGGGCAGAGAGAGAGAGAGAGAGAGAGAGAGAGAGAGAGAGAATCCCAAGCAGGCCTCATGCTATCAGTATGGAGCCTGATGTGGGGGTTGATCTCAAAAGCAGTGAGATCATGATCTAAGTCATAATCAAGAGTTGGATGCTTAACCAATTGAGCCATCCAGGCACCCCTTATTTATCTATTTTTTAACCATGGCCTCACAATCTGGGCACCCAGTGAACTGGAAAACAGCATCCAAAAGCTTGGAAACACCTGAAGGCAGCATTAAATAACAGTACAGTAATTACTGGCCAAAAGGACCATGTCTTGTAATGTTGGAGTCATCAGAAATGCTGTCTGACCTCTGCCTGGATGTGTGGTAGTCAAATAATATTGTCTTCCTTAATCCCTGTGTATTCTTCCGATAAAACTTCAATCCTTATTTTATGTCTAAGCCAATTTTAATGACTTAATTGATCTTCCTTCCTCCTTCCTTCCTTCCTTCCTTCCTTCCTTCCTTCCTTCCTTCCTTCCTTCCTTCCTTCCTTCCTTCTTTCTCTTTCTTTCATGAAACATGGCAATTCGTTAGCAAATGTGCAAAGCTACTCCCCTGGTGGCTAGAGTGGTGAGGGTTAGGCTGGAGAAACAGGATGTAAGAAAGTCTTTCTCTCACAGCTGTGGGGAAATGCTGAAATCAAGTAAGCATGTAGACAGGAGAAAGACGCATGCCAGAGGGAATCCAAAAAGACTGTCAATACCAATGATCCAAGAGAGAGAAAGAGTTGGATTTGGAGAAACAGATCAGAGACAACAGGATATAAGTGTAGAGCACAAAGTCTAGAGCAATGTCTCTCAAACATAGGCTCACACTAGGACAGCCTGGAGTGCTTTCCAAAGCAGCCAATGCCTAGGTTCCTTCCAGACATAATTAAATCAGAATACCTGCAGGTGGGGCTTCGGCAGCTCATTTTTTTACATTTCCCCAGGTGCTTCTAATGTGCAGCCAGAGTGGAGAATCACTGAGCTAAAGCAAGTACGGAATTTTCATGGGCAATTATGCCCATTTCCATTTTCATGGAAAAAGTGGTACTATTATATGCCTCTGACTTCTTGGCTGATGCGCCAGCTGTAAAAATCTGAGACAACTGGACACATTTAAAAGTACTAGGCAAGATGCTGTCTTCAAATTTAATTCTCATGTTAATGAAGCTACAGATTTTTTATGCTGTCAAAGTTAATTGACCTCTATTATTTATGTGTAGAAAATTGCTCTACTTAATGAATCCAAAGAACATAATTTTACATACAACCCTGGATTTTAATTCTTACCATTAAGTCCCCTGTCCTCCAATATCACTATACTTTTCCATTGTAAAATATTTAAGTAGAAGAAGAGCCATAAAGCAAAATACAATAAAATCTCATGTAGCCATAATAATTTTAAGAATTAAAAACGTTACTAACACAGGGGAAGATTCCTGGGTACCATATCTCAATCTCTTTCACTTAATCCTAAAAATAAAATCCATCAGCCTGAATTTAGTGTTTGTCATTCCCATCTGTTTTTTTACTTACATTCTCCTCTCAACCTTGTTTTTGAAATCCATTATTGTTAGTATACATAAGTTCAGCATATTCATTGCTTAAGTATAGCATCATATAGTTATATCATGATAATTATTCATTCCCCCACTAATGTGATTTAAGTTATTTCCAGATGTTGTTTTTTAAGATAGGTTTACTGAGATATAAGACATGTATTTAAAAATTCCTTTTAAAAGTGTACAACTTAAGTGTTTTTTTCAAAGTTTTAAAACCATCACAACTATATGATGTTAGAGCGTTCTCATCACCCAGAAGATATTCCATATTCATTAGATGCCCCTCCATTGCTTTCATTGCTAAATACCTGGCAACCACTAATCTAGATTTTGTTTCCGTAATTTTGCCCACCCTGGACATTTCCTATAAATGAAATCATATAAATGTGGCCTTTACTGACTGGCTTCTTTAAAATAGCATAGTTTTCAAGGTTCATCCCCACTTTACCATGTACCAATACTTTATTCTTTTTTTATTACGAAATAATATTCCATTGCATATCTATGCTATATTCGCTTTTTAATGTTTATTTATTTTGAAAGGGTTGAGGAGAAAGAGAATGGGGAAAGGGAGGGAGAGAGAATCCCAAGTAGGCTCCATGCTGTCAGTGCAGAGCCCAATGAGGGACTCATTTCACGAACCTTGAGATCATGACCTGAGCTGAAACCAAGAGTCAGATGATTAACCAACTGAGCCACCCAAGTGTCCCTATCTATGCCACATTTAGTTTATCATTCATCACTTGATGGACATTTAGGTTGTTTCCACCTTTTAGCAACTATGAGTAATGCTACTATAAACATTAATGGACTGGGGCACCTGGGTGGCTCAGTCAGTTAAGTGGCTGACTTCGGCTCAAGTCATGATCTTGCAGTTCACGGGCTCAAGCCCCACATCAGGCTCTAGGCTGACAGCTCAGAGCCTGGAGCCTGCTTCAGATTCTGTGTCTCCCTCTCTCTCTCTGCCCCTCCCCGACTCATACTCTGTCTGTCTCTATCTCTCAAAAATAAATAAATGTTATTTTTTTTTTTAAATTGATGGGCAAGTTTTTGTGGGATATATGCTCTCACTTCTCTTGGGTTTATACTGCTGGATCATTTGGTAACTCTGCTTCATATTGTGAGGAATAGGCAAAATAGTTTCCCAAAGCAGCCTATTTGAATTATCACCAGCAATATACTCCACTTTCTCAACATCCTCAACATTTATTATTGGCTTTTTTTTTTTTTAGCATTCCAAGTGATTATGATGTGTTTTGGTGTTTTATTTTATAATTTCCATTTCTCTAATGATTAGCAATATTGAGTAATCTTTCGTGCACTTGTTGGCCATTTGTATGCCTTTAGAGAAATGCCTATTCAAATGTTTTCTCACTTTTTCATGACTTTGTCACACAGTGAGATACAACACATATCCTGCTATATGTAAGTGATTGTTATTAGCCAATAATAAAAGCTGCTTCAATAGAGAATAAAGCTAACTACCACAACAAATACGTCATATAATTAAATATCCAAATGGTTAATAAACATAAGGAAAATGAATCAAATACATTAACTCATAAGGGAAAATGAAAATTAAAAACACAATGAGATACCAAGGTATAGTAAGATACTAATACGTATCTACCAGAACAGCTAACATTAAAAGGTGGAAAATACCCAATGTTATCATATTTTCATATCTATGAAAATGATGTACTGCTGGTAAAACCACTTTGGAAAATTGGCATTTTTCTAAAACTGAATGTGCCTCACGATCTAAGCATTTCACACTAGGTAAATATACACCCAGGAGAAGTGGGTATATATGTGTTCCCCTCTAAAAAAATACAAATATTCATAGCAGGACTTTCACTAATATCTGAAAACAAAATGCCCATCAGCAGTAGACTGGATAAAGTATGGTATATTTGTCTAATAAAATACTATTCAGAAATTAAAATAAATGAACTACAACTTCACATGGTAATATCAACAAATCTTACAAATAAAAGGCTGAACAGAAAGAGAAGGTTGAACAGAAGGAGCCAGACAAAACAATACATTCTGCACTATATATATATATACATACGTATATATATACATATATACACACACATACACACACGTACACACTGAAATGGCTTCAGAAATCACACTAGTAATTATCTGTGATCCAGGTATCACAGATATGGCTTTATTTATTTATTTTATAAATTCCATTGATCTGGACACTTATGATTTGTCTACTTTATGATATATACATATATGAGTATATGCATGTATATATACATATATTTTTCTTTGGAAAATATTTCATTCTCTTGCTCTTTTATCTTTCCCTTTCAAGTGACTTCTTCTATTCTACTTTAATATACAAAATTTCTGAAGATATAATTCTTTCCCTTTTGCTCTTCAGTGAAGAAACCAGAGCCATGAAATGCTATAAGGAAACTGATTTGGTAAAAAAAAAAAAAAAAAAAAAAAAGACATGATGTGATCACCTAGGCCAACAGTGACAGGGGATTTTAAAAAAAAATTATGAGAGAAGAGAAAATTTCAATAAAATATGATGGAAGCAGTGAGGGATAAAGGAGAAAACTGGATCAAAACTAAGTGTCTTTATCCTAAAATCCCTAATGGGCTCACACAGATTGTATTGAACAAACAATAAATCCATGCATGAGTAAATGCCTATAAATTCTCACTTCATTATTCTGGAGCTTTGTATAAGTGTGGAAAAAAGTTCTCTTCATGAGTTCATTCAAGATTCCTGTGCTCATTACATGTATCTGCTGTTAAATGTTTACTAACTGAAAAGAATCTTGATGAAATCAGGAACAAACTGAGGGTCCATCAAAAAGTTTTTATTGAGAATATATGTGACTCAAAGCACCAAAATAGCATCTATGTCCATTAGGGAGTTAGTATGTTCTATATAAAGTTCTTGCCAAACATATGTGATTACAGAGATTATTATTTAGCTACCAGCTATCATAAAGCATAGAGAATATATTGCTAAAGTGGTTCTCTCCATAATCATGCACATTTTATCATGCACTTATATATCCATTCTAAAAGACAGGAGAGTGGAATTAAGGCCAACAGATAGAAGAAGATTGCACGGAGACACATACCAATCATCTTTTATTACTAAACTCTGCTCTGTCTCTGATTTGATTTTTAGCAAAGTATGCTCCGTGATGCGCTTTTAGGTTTGAAGCAGATGACATTAGTTATATTACTTACAGCTGCACTGGAACCTCAGTGCAGTGTTATTTCAAGAGCCATCTTCCTTTATATACAAATGCATATAGGTTCATGAGATGACTTCACCTATCTCTTTATTCTGCTGTTTGTGTTGTTTGGGACGCTATGTGTTATCATCACCAGAATGGCCATGGAGGTGTGACATATTGCAGATAATGAGGCAATTATGAAGTTCATTTAGGGGTTTCAAAAAGGGTAAACAACAATATATTTACAACACACCAGATGGCAAATGGATATCATGTTTATTTTATATTTTCATGCTAAAATCTTCTGTGTAATGTGTATTCCACTCATCAAGGTGGTTTAGAGAAAAACATGGTGTGCTTGTTTTTAAAGGTGACTCTGCAAATTCCAAAAAAGGATGTAATTATATCTCTGGAATCAGAGATATTTTAAGCAAATTTAATAAGTTGCCTCATTTGGTGGTAATGTGCTCAAGAGATATTTTAGCAAAACCTTCATTCATATATGCCTATTGTCTGATTTAACCTCAAATTAAGGATACTCTGGGGCATGGGTAAAATAGGTCAAAAGGATTAAAGGGTACACTTACCACTGGGCGCCTGGGTGGCTCAGTCTGTTAAGCATCCCACTTCGGCTCAGGTCATGATCTCACAGTTCGTGGGTTCGAGCCCTGCTTCAGGTTCTGTACTGACAGCTCAGGGCCTGGAGCCTGCTTCCGATTCTATGTCTCACTCTCTCTCTGCTCCTCCCCTATTCACACTCTGTCTCTCTTTCTCTCTCTCTCTCTCCCCCAAAAATAAACATTAAAAATTTGTTCAATTAAAAAAAGAGTATATTTATCATGATAACAAAAACTTTAAAAACTAGTTAATACTATAGATCAGGAAGAAGTATACTTGTCAGGTCAGTCTATGCTCAGTAATGGGTTTAGTTGTAATTTCATGGGAGACATTTCAGGATATTTCTTAGGCTGCCTTCTTAGGCTAAGTGAACTTTTAAGAAACTGTTAAAGAATAGTCTTGCAACAAATGGTGCTGGAGCAAATGGGCATACACATGCAAAACAATGAAGTTAGACCCCTACCTCACACAGCACAATACAGTTAATGCCAACCGGATACCAAAGCTAAATGTAGGAGCTGAAAGCCATAAAATTTGATCAAGAAAGTAATAAGGTAAGTCCTAGAATGGAAGAAGATATTTTTAAAGAAAACATCTAACAAGGGCATTGCATTCAATATGTATAGGGAAATATTACAACTCAGTAATAAAAAGACATATAACTCACTTTATAAAATGATTAAAAGTTTTGAAAGCATATAATGAATGGCCAAAAGGCCCATGTAAAGATGTTTAACATCATCAATCATTTGCTAAATGTAAGTTAAAACCACACTGGGGTACCACTTCACTAGGATGGGCATAATCAGAGGGGCAGATAAAATAACAGGTGTTAGTGAGAAATGCACGGAAATTGAAATGTTATAGGTTATAAAACTGCACAGCCATTTCGTAAAACCATTTAGCAATTCCTCAAAATGTCAAACATCCAGCAAATCTACTCCCTTAGCTAATTTCCCAGAGAATTGAAACTGGATGTCCACACATAAACTTGCATACTATGTCACAGCAGTATTATTCAGAATCACTGAAAATTAGAAACATAAAATGCCCACCAAGTGATGAATGGATAAACAAAATGTGGTATC